TTTTTTTTTTTTGCACTTATCGTGACGCGTGTACCGCGGTGTGTTTCACTCTGCTCTTTGCACTTCTGCCGGTCTTCCCTGCCCTCCAGCTGCTGACATCTGTGCTGAAGAGGAAAGAACAAGGCGAGAAGGATTGCGCACGCTCTTGCTGTCGTTGCGGTGATGTCAGGTACGCCGTGGGTGAACGGCACGGTGCTCTGCGCGGTGGCGTGCAATTTGACTTCCCTCGACGCTGTCCCACTGCTCTGCAGCAGCAGCAGTAGCCGCGGCGGCAGCGACAACGACGACGACGACGACGGCAAGACCGGAAGGGCACGGCAGCAGCCACAGCAGCAGTTACGCATCACAGAGGCGCAACTCAGTTTTAACGCTATAAGTGCGAGCTCGCTTGGACGTCTTGCGTGTCTCACGGATTTTCTGCATACCCTTATCCTGGACAACAATGATTTGCGGGATGTGGCAGCACTCCCGCGACTGCCGAAGCTGCAGCGGCTTTGGCTGAACAACAACCGACTTGCCAGCCTTGACGACGTATTGAAGGTCGCCGCCCGGCAGTGCAACGCGCTGACGTACCTGTCACTGCTGCGCAACCCGTGCTGCCCGAGTGAGCTGGACGGTCACCTGCCAGCGGAGTACGCGCGATACCGTCTTTACGTCAAGCATACGCTGCCCAGCCTCGTGCGGCTCGATTCAGAGGGTTTCACGGAGGCAGAGGCGCAAGAGGCGAGGAAGAAGGGTCAGTTTGCGCGGCCGGCACGAGCAAAGTGTGGTGTGGGAGAGGCATGGAAAGATAATAACGGCACAAGAAGCGCAGTGAGTGGTAGCGGCAGCAACAATGGCGAACAGGTAGATCTGTTTGCTGTCTTTGATGAAGAGCGGCGTGATGGAGGGGGAGCTGTCACGTATCTGTCGAGTCGTCGCCATGTGTATACTGGGCGGGGAAGTGAAGGGAATCGCTTTATCCGCGATGACGTGCTGTGACTATGGCAATGTGGTCCGATGCCGTCTCTGCGATGCCGTAAGGTGGGGAAAAGTTGAAGTAGAGACCGGTGTGTTGTTCTCGCTGGTTTCATTCCCTTGGCTGTGTGTTTGGTGCAGTGTATATATATATATATATATATA